AAAAAAAAAAAAAAGAAAAAAGAAGAAGAAAGAAAAAGCGAGGGAAGAACTGCTGCAGTAACTCGGTTGGAAACGGGTGGGCAAACCTGAAGAAGCAGCTAATACCTGCCTGGCTATGCCAGCCCTCAGATCTCAGTGTGTTTATCCAAGTCCACAGAAGAGGGTGGGGAAGGGGAGCTGGGGAGACCAAGTTCCCCTCAAAGACGGTAGCATCCTTTCCCAGGGGGAGCTCAAGCATAGCAGGGGTTGGGCCCCAACGAAGGAGGAACCAGGTTCCAGGGTATGTGCAATGGCAGAAGAGCAACAGCAACTGGTGCGGGGGGGGTTGTTGAAATATTGGCAGGTTGGGGAGGGGATTGGTGGGAGACAAATGGGAAGATGGGGGCGAGGGCGGTCCTGAAAAGGGGTTGAGGGGTTTTCACAGAGAAAAACGGTTACTGGTGGGGAGGGTCTTCACGGTGAGGAGGGAAGGGAGCTTGGGTGAGAGGTCTCCATAGGGAAAATAGCAGATGGTTGGGATTTCCCCCGGGGAAAATGGGAAGGAGCTGGACATTCGGGGTCTCCAGAGGGAAAATGGGAGGTGTGAGTATCTCACTAAAGAGGGAATAAGTGGGCAAAAATGGGTGAGTGGCTAAAGCGCGGGTCTTGCCATAGGGAAATCACGGTGGCTGAAGATCTCCGTGGGTTAAGAAATGGAGGCCAAGAAGATCTCTCCATGAAAACGGGTACCTAGGAAGACCTCCAGATTAAAAAGATGGATGAGGTTTCCCACGCGGGAAGTGGGGCTTGACTGTGGTTAATCTTTATGGGGAGGTCGGGGCGGGCAGTGGGGGAAGAGGTCACGGGGAGGTCCGAGTTGGCTGATGGCGGGGGGTCTCCACCCGGAGATCGGGATTGGCGGAAGGGGGACGAGGGGTTTCATGGGGGAGATCAAGTTGGCCATGGGAGCGCTTCTCCAAGGGGAGGCCGGGGTCGGCCCGGGGGTGGGGGTCCCCGCACGGGCCCAGCCTCACCGTCTGCCAGGGCTTCACTGCACTCGAAGCTGATCTCGAACCGGAAGGGGCTGTGGAAAGGGCTCGGGTTCTCCAGGACCGCCACGTTCAGCACCGACACCTTGGCCATCGCCTCGCCTCGCCTCGCCTCGCCGCGCCGCAGCAGGGGCAGGGGCAGGGGCTGTGGCTGTGGCTGTGGCGGAGGCCGCGCCTGGGTCCGGTGAGTGGGGGGCGTCAGTGGGGTACGGCAGACCAGGTCCACTCCCGCCTCTTCTCTCCGCGGACTGAAGTGCGCACCTAAACCGCGGACCGCCTTCAAATAGCCGGCCTCCGCCCTCTGGCCAATCACCGCCAACGCTCCCTGGCGGCGCGCGCACCCCCTCAGCCAATCCTGGAGCGCCGGTCGGCGCGCGCCCAGACTCCCAGGACCAATCAGCGGAGCTCCCTCCCCGCGGCGTGTGAGGAGGGCGAAACTATCTCCAGGCTTCTTAGCGTGTCCGCTGGGAACCAATCCCCAGCGTCTCCGACTCGGATATCAACGACGGGAGTGGACGGAGTCAGAGCGCCGGACTCCTTGTGCCCAATCCTGAGGGTTCCCGCACCGGCGTGGCCCGCCCCTCGCCTCGCTTTTCCGGGAGATGCATCCCGCACCGCGCAGCGCCGCCAACCGCCGAGCGGTGGCGCGCGGCGCTCGCTAAAGAAGGCGGGAAGGGCGGTGCTCGCACCCTCAGTGATTGGCAGGAGGGAGTGGGGCGGAGATAAAGAGGGTTTTCTGAGAGTTGATTGGCTGGATTGGTAATAGTGCCGGGAACAGAAGGAGGCTCAGCTGGGGATTCGCTGGAGAGAAGCGGAAGTCGAGCGCCGCCGCGGTGCTGGCGAGTGTGAAAAAAGAGGAGGAGGGTTGCGCCCTCAGCGTCTGTCAACAGGTGAGCGTAGTCTGGAGCTTTTCTAAGTGGCTCCTGACCCTTGAGGTCCAGCGGCCCTGGAGTCCGTTGTGAACGTTGCGAACGTTCGGAGTGGCGGTCACGCGGCGCGCTGGGACCTCGGGAGTCCAGCCCGGTTCGGATCCCGCTTTCGCCCACGAGGGGTTCGAATCCCGCTCTCGCCCCCGAGGGGTTTGGATCCCGCTCTCGCCCCCTCAAGGGCTCTTGGAAGGTTTCAAGCAGACGGTACTAAAAATGGGAGTTTCAGTTCGGGGGCAGACCAGTGTTCGAGTCCGGGCTCTGCTACTCAGCTCCTGAGGCAGCGTCTCTCCATTCAACGGGGGCAGTGGCAATTGCCTGCCATGATTCATGACCGCACAATACATCCGGAAACTTCTCTCCGCCGCATCCCGTCGCCCCCGGCCTGGGAGACTCCAGGTCGGAGAGTCTCTGCCCCCACGGGCGATCAGCTCTACCCAGTGGAAAAATAATGCCAGCCGCGCACCTAATTTTACATTTTTTGGAAACTACTTTTTTTTTTCTTTGAGACGGAATCTCGCTCTGTCACCCAGGCTGGAGTGCAATAGCGCGATCTCGGCTCACTGCAACCTCCACCTCCCGGGTTCAAGCGATTCTCCTGCCTCAGCCTCCTGAGTAGCTGGGA